CGTTTCTTCTTCTTCACTTCTTCCTACTCTTATCCCCTTATTTTTTAATATCAAGTAGTAATGCTTTTAAAAAATAACTAAATGAGACCAAAGTTAATAAATCAATAACATTCTTGTGAATAATATAATTTGAGATTCTCGGCATGTTAAGTTTTGGGTATAAGAGTGCCATCTCGGTAGGCCAACTTACAATAACCATTTCGGTTAGATTCAACCACTCGATAGGGACCCTCCCACTTTGAAGTTAGTTTACCCTGAGGTTCAGTTCGACTAACCGAATTCTTCCTCAGAACTAAATCTCCTGGGTTGAATCGAAAATATCTGACATGGGTATTGTAGCAGCTAGCCAAGATTCTCTTGTATGAAACTACCCGAGCTACTACAGTGTTTCTCTTCTTTTCAACCAAGTCGAGGTCTACCCTCATTTTGTTTTTTATTTGCCTTAGCAGCATATGCTGCCATCCGAGAGCTAGGAGTGAAGATTTCAACAGGGATCACTGCCTCGTACCCATAGGTCAATGAGAGCGGATTTTTTTGTGTGACAGACCTCAGCGTCGTCCGATAAGACCAGAGGACATTGGAGAGTTCGTCAACCCAAGATGATCCAAGTTGGTGCAACCTGGTCTTAAATCCATGTAGGAGAGTTCGGTTGAAGTTCTCAGCCTATCTGTTGGCTTGGGAATGACCTACCGAGGTGAAGTGCTCATTGATCCCGAGGCTTTCGCACTAACCTTTGAACGGATTTTCAGCGAACTATTTTTCGTTGTTCAAAATGATTGCTCGTGGTACTCCGAAGCGGTAAAACTATACATTTTCAAAAGAATTTCTGGATAGCTAGGCCGATTATGCTTCTTAATGGTTCGGTTTCGATTCACTTGGTGAAGTAATCCATAACTACCACAAAAAATGCATAACCACCAACAGCCTTGGGGAAAGGGCCGATAAGATTTGTTTCCCATTACTCGAAGGGCCAGGGCGAGGTGATAGGGATCATGAGATTGGTAGATTGATGATACTCGGGAGTGTGGTATTGGCATGAAAGGCAGCTAAGGATTATGATCTAGGTATCTTATTGGATGGTAGGCCAAAAGTACCTGAGGAGTAGGCTCTTTTTAGCCAACATCTTATGACCGACGTGAGTTCCGCATAGGCCTTTGTGTATTTCACAGAGGACCCGTCCTCCTTCCTCTGCCGTGATGCACCGTAGTCATGGTCAGAGGTAAGACCGCTTGTACAATTTCCCTTCCGGAGTGCATGCCGAGCGACTTTGCATTGGATCTTTCTCGCTCGACCCCGATCTTCGAAGAGGGTCCCCTGACCTAGGAATTTGATGAGGGGACTCATCCAGGTGTCCCTTGAATACACAGGACAGACTTTTTTCTCTGAATACTCTGGATCGATATGGACCTCCACTAGAACTGTTCTGTTGAGCGTTGAGAATGAGGTGGAGGCTAATCGGAACAATGCATCGGCTCGTTTATTCTATGACCGAGGTATCCTTTGAATTTTGACAGAGTCGAAGTATGCTGCTAGTTAGTGAACTTTAGAGAGGTACCGCTGCATGATTTCCTTTCTAGTTTCAAATTTAACGAGGACTTGACATATTACGAGTTGGGAGTCACTGTTAACTTGAATGTGCCGTGCACCTAGTTGGCAAGCTAAACGCAAACTCGCGATCAGAGTCTCGTACTCGACTTCATTATTGAATGTTGGGAAGTCAAATCGGAGGGCGTAGGAGCATATCTCCCCATAAAGATCTTTAAAAAGTAATCCGGCTACATTGCCACTATTGTTGGAAGATTCGTCAACATAGAGAATCGATGAAGATGGTTTAGATGAGTTTGAGGTGGCGTTTTGGCTCACTAAAAACGTGAACTTAGCCAAGAAATTTGTCAAATCTTGAGCTTTGATAGCTGTCTGAGACTCATAAGACAGATCATACTCGCCCAGTTCGATAGCCCATTTGATAAGACGTCCTGAAGCCTCGGGACGTAGAAGGATCTGCGGAATCAGTTGGTCTGTCCTCATAGATATGGGATGAGCCAAGAAATAAGGTTTCAGCCGCTGAGCCGCATGCACCAAGCCCAACACTAGTTTCTCCGTCTGGGTGTACCACGTCTCTGATCCGCGCAGGATTCTGCTGAAATAGTATACGAGTATCTGAGTACCTTCATCTCAGATTAGTACAACACTAACTGTTTTGCCAGCCGCGGACAAGTAGAAGTACACTCTCTCCTCGGCCTGTGGTGAACGGGAGTAGGAAGATGATGCAAATAATCTTTCATCTGATCAAAAGCATTTTGGCACTTCTCAGTCTAGGAGAATTGGTTCGCCTTCTTTAATACTTTGAAGAAGGGTAATGCCCTCTTGATGGATTGAGACAAGAACCGATTCAGGGCGGTTAGGCGACCTGTCAATCTCTGGACTTTTCGGGGATTTCGAGGGGGTGACATATTTTGGATGGCCTTCGACTTGTCGGGGTTAGCCTCTATTTCTCGACGGGATACTAGGTATCCGATGAACTTTTTCAAGGTGACCCCGAATATGCAATTTTTTGGATTCAGCATCATCCTGGCATCTCAGAGGACCCCCAACACATCTCGCATATCTGAAAGAAAAATCGAGGTAGTCTCACTCTTGAGGAGAATATCATCAACATAAGTCTCAACATTTCGGCCTATCTGGTTGTGAAAGATGCTATTTATCAGCCGTTAGTAGATTGCCCCGGCATTCTTCAACCCACAGGACATGATGGTGTAACAATAGACTCCTCGATCGATGTAGAATGCCATCTTTTCCTGATTCTTCTCGCTCATTTCTATTTGGTGGTACCCCTTGAATGCATCAAGGAAGTAGAGGATCTCATATCCCATTGTCGAGTCAACTAGAACGTCAATCCAAGACAACGGATAGCAGTTCTCGGGACAAGTCTTGTTAAAATCAGTGAAGTTCACACACATTCTCCACCCGCCAGTGTCTTTCTTGACCATGACGGGATTGGATAGCCAAGTCGGGTACTGAATTTCTCTGATCATTTTGGCTGGTAGAAGTTTATCAACTTCTTCAGAGATGGCTTTACTACGCTTAGGGCCGAAGTGTCTCCTTTTTTGCTTCACTGAACGAGCACGTGGATCCACGTTGAGCTTATGTATCATGAGCTCAGGAGGTACCCCGACAACCTCGTCGATTGTCCAGGCAAAGACATCTCGGTGTTCCTTGAATACTTGTCCCCACTCGGACCACCTGATCGGTCTCAGGGCGTTCAAAGTTACCTCTTCCACTTCATCTTCGGTCTCAAGTCTTCCAAGCTTACTGGTCTTGTGAGGATCGATACAGTCTATGGAGAGAATGTTTGGTCTTTTCCTCTCGGTCTTTGGCTCAGCACCTGGGTTGACAGCGGGTTGCATGGTTGCGAGGAACATTCTCTTGCCGCAGTCACATCACTACTCACTTCGGCTATATTAGCAGTAGTCAAGAACTTGAAACTCAAGTGGTAGATGGAGTACACGGCTTTCAGATCGTTGAGTGTGGGCCAACCTTTCAACATATTGTATGGAGAATCAGCTTTAACAATAGTAAAATTAACAGGGACAATTTGGCAGTGGAGGTAAAGGCCAACGGTGACCATCAAAGAGGCCATCGCTTCCGGGTGGACTACGCGTCCCCCGAGCCCGACAAGAGGAGTCCTCATGGGAGTGAGCTGTTCCCTCATCAGCTTCAGACTCTCAAAGGTTCGGTAGTTCAAGACGTCTACCGAACTGTTAGGATCTACATATACCTTTTTCACAATGTAGTTATTGGTGAGAACCTCAATTACAAGGGTCTCGTGGTTACTAGAGGTAGTTGGGACGGGGTCACTGAATCCATAAGTGATCACCTCGGATAGCCTGGAGCTTGACTCGGCTAGGTCCAGGCTAGCTTGACGGAAAGTCCTCTTCCTGGAGTTCTGACTATTCCCTCCCGACGAACCACCCTTAATAGTGTTAATGATCCCAACGATATTCAGACCAAAGTCTGGGAATCCGTTTCTAGGAGGTCTCCCAGACTCCCTATGGTCCCTGGGGCCACGGCTGTTGCTCTTCTCACTCTTCCCGGCCATCTTTGGAGGAACGCGGCTGAGGTGATTTTGTTCCATTATAGCAAGAATGTGAGATCGCCTGGTGTTGAGAAGAGTTAGCTTGGAATCAGAGACGGATGGTTTCCCTTTTGCAATCCTATTGAAAATACTTCGGCGATCTCGAGAAAGATTCTGAAGCCCGCCACTGGGGTCTCGTTCGTCTTGGCTTGATTCCTTCTTCTTTCGGGGGCCCTGTCCAGTGCGAGCTGCTTGCGCTTCTCTTTTCATGCGATTTACATCCTCACTTTGGATGCTCTTGTCTACTCGGTGCTAGAGTTCTCGAAGTGTTCAAGGATACTCCCGATATATTTCAGTGCTGAACGCACCTACTATTAACCCATTTGTAAAAGCAACTATGGTCACCTGCTCATTTTGATTGGGTATTTGCACGTTTTCATCGTGAAACCTCTGCATGTATGAGTAGAGGCCTACTACAAGAAAAAAGGTCATCAATGACAACCAATTCTTGTCACAAAAAAAGTAAATATCGTTACTGATGACAATTACTGACAACATTTAAGTCGCCACAGAGTCGTCAGTGAATGCCCGTCGGTAAAGATGTACAGTGACAACTTTATATGTCGTCAGTAAATAGCATTCTTTACTGACAACTCACTTCGTCAATAAAAAGTACAAATATAGTGATGACTTTATATCTTGTCAGTGATGGCCCCAGTAACATTGTCACTGAAACTTCTTGATGATTGTTGCTTGTATTGACTAATTACTAACAATTTTGGTTCACGCTTGTCACTAAAATAGACGTGATATTGACAACTTTTTGTCATCACTGCAGGCTTTAAGTTTAGAGATACTAATTAGTGACAACATTTCATTGTTAGTGGAGAAGTCTAATTAGTGACAATATACTGTAACCGTGTAGTTTGATAAAGAAAATTATACTGGAATTAATCAATCCAACAATTCAATTTACGAATTGAGAAAAATAACAACAAAGCCTACTAATTAAAAACAGAAGACATCCATTACATTCGAAATGCCAAAATATCATATTTAAGTTCAACATCCTGCTACAGCTTTACAAAAATAAATCTAAGTCCTAAACTTAGCTAGCAACTACTGCCGAAACACTTCAAGAGCAAAACACAACTTTGTCTTCATTGTTCTTCAATCAATTAATAGCTGTGGATTAGAGGCCAAAAGAGTTTGAACAAGCAATACAAGTCTGCATAAAGTAGTATAATAATTAGTAGGTAACAAGTAGCTTGAGCAAAAAAATAAACTATCTTATATTTACCTACAACAAAACTCAATCACGATTAGAATCTTGGTCAAGACAAGAACAAATAAGGCAGAAAATTAACATAACAAGGACAATATCCCAAATTAGCTTAGTAGTTAGCTAGTTAAGTATTAGTGAGGTCAATACCTTTTTAACAAACTACTCAAGGCCAAACAAAAATATTACTAGCTTTTCACGGAGTGGCTTAACATGTCTTCCTAACAAAGTCATGGAGCCAAAAGCTAACAAAGAATTTTTTGACTGAATATTATCTCTAACTCGAATAGTAAATTATCGGATATCATTTTACATACACTCAAAACAGTAATAGAAAACCAACTACAAGCAGAGATATGCAAGAAATCATAGCTAGCAAATGGTTGTACATACTTTTCATGACAGGATAGAGAAAACATGCTGTTGAAGGAACAAGGCCTTCCTAGGACTTTACAAACAAGACAATCAATAAATACAATCAAATCAAAAAGTGTCCTCAAACACCCCTATTCCTGATAAATTTCTACATACCTGAGTTCTATACATAAAAGTTAGTCAAGGAAAGGGTACCCAGCTAGACTTGTGAAGGTTTAGGAAACTTGATCTTGTACAATATAAAGATTCTGTGGATCTACTAAGATCCCAACTTACTCCCTGCTCACGATAAATTGATGTCTAACTTTGCATTTAATGCCATGCAATAAGAAAAAGAGTGGCAACGATTTTCTCAATTTTACCATTGACTACTTGTTACCCAACCTTCTCCATTTATTAAATTCAATTCATAATGCAATCCATGTGTTTCCCACTTCTTATTTAAGTTTCAAACATTATTGTTATCTAAGTTCATTTTAAAGTAGAGCCGACTCTAGCTAGGACATCCATTTGGAACAAAGGAGTGGAACACAAGTTATTAGCTTTAAAGCTATCTCACATTTGTTAGAATTTATTTATTATATGTTTTACATTGTTAAAATCTATGAGTTAATTAACTATAACAACTTGTAAAAGTTGCATCTTACAAGACAAAAAATTTTTAGTTCATCAACTTGTAGCCAAGAAATTTGTCCTCTTATCATGCCAACCAGATCTAAAGGTGACTTTTTGAGAGACTATGCTAGTAGGAAAGCACTTGCATGTGAAATAAACATATTAACCATAAAATTGTGCTTAAAATCTTTGGAAAAATGGTTTGGGGTTGATGCATGCACAAATACTGGTTGTCTATATTTCCACACAAAAGCAAAAGCATATTGATAAGAAGCACCTTTTGGCATCTGGGAATTCTAACTCGTCTTGATCAAAAAGCCAGCTTTTGGAAAAATGGTTTAGGGTTAATTTTCTTGTTGCATCAGCTGAACCATCTTCATAGAGGTAATTTTACTGCCTTTTCTATAATTATGGACCTAAATATGCATCCAGTAACATAAGTATTGTTAATATTCACGTAAAAAATGATCAACTTGACCACTAGCCTGTCTAGAAAGAAGACAGAGCAAGAGTACCTCAATTCACTTTACAACAGGTTTTCTAGCATGACCTTTAGAATGGTAGCAATTTTAGCATGTCAAAGGAAGGAGTAATCATCCAACAAGAAATTCATCAAATTGATCTTCTCCAACAATTAAAAGGCACAAAAAGTTCCTAGCTTGCTTGAAAAGCCATGCCAGCTTCTTACAAAAATCTTGGTCAAAAGATCATTCCATTGCATCTTTAAGGAAATGCTCTATTCTATCAGTCTCAATACGTCATTTAACATTACAAAAAAACACATAAGACAACTCTTCCTAGAATATCATAAGGGAATAATAGTGATGTTGGATAGCAAACTTTTTGATACAATTAAAGTCCATACTCGCTCATTTTCTCAGGTATTCTAGAAACCTGAGAGATTACAATAGGCTAATAAAGTCATTAGAACTAGACAAATCCCGAATCTAAAGCAACCGAATTAGTATGTTTCCTAATTATCTGGCAATTTTACATGTTTATGACAGCAAGGTAGCAAACTTGGCAAGTATCGCATTAGAATCATGTTGCAGAATCTTATTCACAACAGAATCTCTAGGGATGCTACTAACCAAAGTGGCATTCGTATCTCAATCTAACTGACTAGGGACAAATCTGTTATAATCTAACAGTACATGACTAATTTCACAGCTGAGAATGAAATTAAAAGCACAAGACGAATACAAATAGTCTTTATTGGATTCATCTATAAAGAAAGGGATACACAAAGACTACCTATTCGTTCTTGTAAATTGATACTCAAATAAATCAAAACAAACAACAAAATTAAATAGCCACCTTAGTTTCATAAGGAAAATTTTCATGATTTTTTTATCCTTCCTTTTCAATGAAGCACTTATTGGCATAAACAACCTTAGATTAATGAGGCAGTAAAAAGTTTTAATTGACATCCAACTCCATCTAAATATTTGGGATCTACGTAGTTTTTAATCATCCAACTCCTAGCCATGTTTTCTCTGTCTTGTATCCTAACATAAAGATATATGCATCCAAGATTATTTTAATGAAGGCACAATAACTAAATTGGGGAAACTAATCATCGCAAATAGCAACAAAGAAACTCCAAAGTAATGAAACACAAATTTTATCATTCAAATTGATCACGATCAGGTGCATGTGCTAAAAGTAGAACAAATATGAACATGATGTACTATTAAATCAGCATTATCATCAGATGACAACTCAATGCTTATAATTTAAATAAACATTAGTACTGGTGAACAACAGTACATTTTTGTAGGTCATTCGCAAAGCAAAAATTCTAGTAAAGTGTACTCATGATTACTAAACAAAAGAAAAAGGACTGAGGGAGAGTGCTTGTAAAGTACCTCAAAGTGAAAAATGCAACTCAATGAGAATATCCGAGGAAGACCCTAAGCCTATGTCAACAACTTCAATTGCTACAAAAAATAAGAAATCAATCAAATCTAAGAGAAATAAAGTAATTTTTGTGATCTACCTGAAACTAATCCACACTATATTGATTTATATAATTATATGCATATAAGTAGCACGCCAAATCAACAATATATGAAAAGGGAATATGAGTACAATTCAAAGTTGGAAGTAGCATACTGGAATGAATTCCATATTCGTAACTTAGAATGATGCTTTTGAAGTTATAATAGGTTTCAAGTTACTTGTATGATTAGTTAATCATGAGATAAACTAGAAGCCAAAAAAGAAAAACAATTACTAAAACTTTAAGGAGAAATCATGATGTTATCATATAGCATGCATGGCCACCATACAATTGTGTAGAATAATTAGATTGACCATGAAAACAATCACAAATATCAAATTGACCAGCATGCTACTTAGGAAAATAATTATAGATATCGTCAGCCTATATATTTGTATTTCTTTTCCTATGTATATTAGGGGTATAATTATAGATATCTTTAGCCTATATATTTGGTCTACCAGAAAAGACCAAAGCTTCAAACAGACCACACAATTCATCCAATCACACCTCATACATTTCAAATCTTTTCTATGTCATTTCATTGGATAATTGTAACAGCATGTATGTAAATATTATTATTAGTACTATTACTAATTAATAAAGCTCATTAACAACGAGCCAGTAGCTATTGCTTTGATTTTTGATAAAAATCCAAATAATTTCGAAGAACCCCTTTCAAGAATCGTTTCTGTAGGTACTTTAATGGGTTGTTCTGGTTTAGCTTAGTTTCAAGCAAAGTTTGAAGCTTTCGGGAAATTTTGAAGATTAAACTTTAATGTGCTACCTCTTTGCTCAGCCACATAGATAATCAACTAATCACTCCCCAATTCCCACTCCACCCAGCACCATTTATCCCACTATTTCTCTCACCAGCAGCCACTCATAGCAACATCGTACCATAATCACCTCCTTGCTCTCTTCCACTCCCTTCACCACCATCCAATTAGGCATGAACTTTTGCCCCACCTAGTTCCAAGCCAACGGCACCCGCACATAAATCCATTGAATTTTGTCACCATGACTCACATATGGAATTGGGTGATCAAGTCTACATCCCATGGTTGTACAAAAATAACTTAAGCAATTGCAACTATAGATCAAACAGTTCTACTAGAAGGAGTCCACGACTCAAACTAGGCACCATAAAAATTTTGCCAAAAATTTGGGGAAAAAATTTAGGGCAAATTAATTGAGGAAAAAGTTAAGGAAACAAGGAGAGACATAAGAGGACCTACCTGAGAGTTGGTGGAGAGCACATCGATCCCCTTCAGCGTTGAATGCACAATTAGTCTAGAGTTCCCTCAATCACTGCCAGCCTTTCGGTAAACTTGCCTTCTTTTTCTTGGGCTTGGTGTTGCGTCACCAAGGAGGTGGAGAAAGAAGTGGATGGTGGACTCCTTCTGGCTCCTTTCGGCTGTTGTAGTCGACTAGGGTACGGCCATCCTCCAGCTGCTTGCCGATGAAGATGAGGCGCTATTAGTTTCGGGGGAATGCCTCTCCTTGTCCTGGATTTTGGCCTTGACATCGTCGATGGTGTCAGAAGACTCCACCTCAAGGGTGATGGTCTTCCCCATCAGGATTTCCATGAAGATTTGCATTTTTTATGGCAGCAGCTGCCGGTTGTCGCCTCTACTGCTGCTCAGGTTTTGGAAAATGAATAAAGGGGGTTGGGTTGACCGAGGCATTGAGAGTGTTAAGAGTACTAAAGGCATCTGGAAGTGGGGAATAAGAGTGGTTCCTTTTCTAGTGTATACTGTATAGTACCCGGGCCATTTTTTTTTATGTTTAGCTTGAACAAATATTTGGTACTAGTCAATCAAGGCAATCCAAGTTAATTTTTAGCTTCAATTTTTATTTAAATTTACTAATATATTTCTAATCACTACTTCTTAACATATTTATTAAAAGGTTATAATGGATGAAAATTTTTTGCTAAATTCGAACAACTGGTAAATGTACTCTTTTTCAAGTTGTAATAGTTTAGATAGTTGTTCTAATTAGAAACTTTCATTAATTTTTTCCAGTTAAAAACCTATTATTATTTGAGTAACTATGACTAGTTTAATAAATTATTAAATTTTTAAAAAATAAATTAATATTAAGGCTCACAATTAAATAAATGCATTGGAGATGTTCAAGTTAGTGATGATACTATGTTATCACTAACTACATTATAGTTTTACTGACAAAAATTGGTTGTCAATAAATATAAATAGTGACAACAATGAAAAGTTGTCAAAGAAAGAGGTAGAATTACTGACAACTTTTATCAAGTTGTCACTATCGCAAAACTCCCGCCTTCCAAGTCTTATGGCGCGAAGTAGTTTTGTGACGACAATTAACGATTGTCACTGAAAACTTAGCTGCTTTGAGTCAATTGTGACAACCTTCAATGTCGTGACTAAACAACTACATTTTGTGATGACTTTTTGTCATCACTAGAAAATGTTGTCACTAATGCCCTTTTTTCTTGTAGTGGGGATTCCCTCGGAGCATGTTGTATATTTTACAGGTAGGCCGAGGTTTTTGTCACGGGCCGAGATGACACGAAACGGTGGATAAACTTATCCACAAGCTCTCTCAGGGAGGATATGCTCCTAGATTCTATGTTCTAGAAACATTTTCGAGCAGTTTCTTATAGGAAAATAGGAAAGGCTTGCCAAATAGAATCGGGAACACAATATAGCCGGAAGGCAGAGATGAAGGCATGGAGGTGGTTCTCAGGATCACCTCGCCTACTGTAAGGCGACAGCACTGGAAGTTTGAAGTTGGGGGCAACCATTTTTCCATTTATATCATCGGTGAAAGGTGGAGCCCTCATGTAATCGACTGCCAGCCCCTCTAGGTGCCGGGGTGGCTCCTCAGTTCGTCTTCCTAGCAAACCCCGGAAAAACGCTTTGGAAATGGAGGCAATCTTGGACGTGGCATTGGATGAGGCACGTTTTGAGGTGCTCCAGACAGGATGTCTGTCATCGGAGTCCTCTTCGGAAGGCATCTCAAGTGATTTCGCTAGCCTCCTCTTGGAAGACTCGACTTTTTCTTTATCTTGCCTTTTAAAGTATCTTCCTAACTCTTCGAAGATGTTCAGATTTTCTGCTACAAACTCAGCCATATGGGCGATGGCTTCTTCGTTTGCAGGTTGGGTCCTCGGGGACCCTGGTTCTTCAGAGATGTTATCGTGCTGGGGTCTGGACTTGGCTCAGCTCCGGTGGGGGGAACCCTCCTACTCCTAGAGTGCGTGGATTTCATATCTTAAGAGTATCTTCAATTCCCACAGACGGCGCCAATTGAAGAGGTGATTTCTGGTTAGGTAGCCGAGCTATCCTAAGTTGGTTCCCTCTTAAGAGAGATGAGTTTTCGTGGTAGACTTTTGGACCAAAGTAATAGGCGGGGCTTTGTCCCCTGAGATCACTCCGACGATCAAGTCAGTTTAGTGAGAGGAAACAAGAACAATAATAGATTTGAATATAATAGTACTCTTACTTGTATTGGAGGAAGGAGGTGGTATTTATAGGATACCAGATGGAGGGAAGGACAGCAGATTTATGTCTGTGGACCCCCACAATCTACACTTTATGGCTCTGTCTTGCGTATTACGGCTCTGTCCTGACACGCAACAGTGGCTCAGGCTTCCTGTCATGCAGGCACGTGATTTCTCGAAAAAGTGTGACCATGTGGCTTCCCGATAAAGTACCCTTACTGTTAACCCGTTAGTCAAAATAATAAGGGGTGCGCTAGTTCTGACATCTGCACGGAGGCGAGATGACTGACGTCGCCCAAGGGCTCGGTGTAGTCAGATGCGGGAGTAGAGATGGCCTCAGGCCGAGATGAGGGAAATGACTGGGCTCAGATTTGTAGTTCGAGATAGATGAACCGAGGTGATCATCCTCAGTGTCAAAAGCCATGCCTGAAACTTATGTTTTTCCTCCAGATAGGAGACCAGGGAAGCATATTCCAAGCTGCAAAGATAGTTCAACCATTGACCTCGAGAAAGCTGCAGGGCTTGAACGCACTAAAGTCATTGAGCAGATTATGAAAGCAAGCCAAGAATTTTTGGATTCTTTCATGTTCATAGTTCTGGTTATGTTTGAACTAAAAAATTAGATATAATTCTTGATGATGATTGTCTAAAAGCATCATTTGGAATGCATTATCAATCATGCTAAATGCTGTTAATATAGGTCAATAATCATGAAGTTTCTGAAGGCTTAATGGAGGAGACAATGAGTGTTATCCAGTTCTTTAGGTTGCCAGGTGAGTATAAGGCTAGCTGTCACTCCAATGACATCAATCAAAGCAATAGAATCTTCTCAAGCACTCTAATTATCAAAAAGAAGATTTTCACTATTGGAGGGATAACTTAACACATTCTTGCATCCTCTGGAGGATCATATTCAATTTTGGCCTGAAAAGACTACCAGATGTCAGTCAAAGCTATTGTAGGTTATATTGAGTCATAATCAGATAGAACTAAGAAGGTTTCGATGGTTTTTTGAACTTCTGTGTTTGTTACCATGGTTCAAAGACTCGGCCGAGTCGTCACCGAAATGGGGCTCCCTGTTTCGATATAGAGATGATATAATTCTGAGATATCTGAATCACCCAAAACTAGACTGAGAAATTGGTCGAGAAGTTGCCGATATAGATAGAAAAGGCCAAGTCATACCGAGTCACCTCGAATCAATTCAAATTCAACTAAAAACCAACAAAAAAAGCAAGAGAAAAAAGGGATGAAATTGCTGGGTGGTCTTGATTCTTGGTTTGAACTGTTTCACAAAAACAAGTTCGAGAACCCGAAAGAAACATCTGGAAACATGTTATTCAAATAATAGACAATAAGCAAAGTGCAGTTATTATCTGTACGTGCATATGCAAGTTGAGGCAAACAGCAAAAGATTGCACAAACCATGAAGATTACAGTTTTTAGCTTCTGGAAGAAGACAAATGTTATTCAGGTACCCCTAAAAGTTTAGCCTGAATATTTTCAAGCATCTTTTCCAGTCTTACAAGAGAGAGAGGAATTGACTGTATTACTGATTCTCTTCAAATACATCAAATGGGGATTTCACATCCTACAAACGTAAAATGTGAGCTCAAAAATATGACACGCCCCACATCGATGAAGATTCTACAGATGTATTTGACATGTAATTAATTGGAAACTTCTTGAGTTTTCGTCTAGAGCGGATAGAGTTGGACTAAATCAGATGCTTATAAATGGTATATCTCCTAATGTACAAGATTATGACACAAGAACTGCCCTTCATCTTGCTGCTAGAGAGGGCCGTGCCTCCATTGTTGAGCTTTTTTTGGCCTACAATGCTCAAGTACCACTACAGGAAAAATACGCTTTTTGTGACTCTTTTGCTGTGGCAGAGGGAAAAAGTGCTGCAAATAAGCAGCACATTTCAAATTGTCATATTGTGTTGCAAAGTTAATAGGGGTTCAAAATTTTATTGGCAAAACTACGTAGTTTTAATAAAGCCAGAAAAACGCCAAAAGAAGAAAAGAGGAAAAGTGGGCTCTTTGGCTTTCCATTATATCCTTCGTTCTCCCGATGAATTATTCCCTCTCTCTTTCAAACCTATTTCCACCTCCTCCATTTTCCTTGCAATATGGCCAACAAATATGCAGTAACCACCTTCATCCATGAGATATAGAGGAAATCTGGAAAAATAGAAAGATTGATTGCTGATCGGTTGCAGCGCCTAAAGCAAGGGTTTAATGCAAGAAAGATGAAGGACCTCCTCCATTTTCACTCTCAACAGTTGAAATCGATTCCCAATTGCAGTGTTTCTTCCTTGTTGTATCTCTCTTTGTTCCTCTTCTTCTTTGTCTCTCCAATTCTAAAGGCCATCACCTTCTCAAAGGAATATGGTGAGATTTGTACCTAGCGATAGTTTTATCTCAATTTTGTGTTTGATTCTTAGGTTTAATAACTCCTAGCATGATTTTGAGAAGTTAAATTTGTTTTCAATTTTAGGTAATTTTGCCAAAAGTGATTAAATTGGCTTTCACTAGCTGGATTTGCTTCAATTAATTTTGATCATCGGTGAAGTAATTAATAGCTTTGAGAGAACTTGCCCAACAATTTTGCGAGCTATTCTAGTTCAAAAGCAAGGTAATTAAGCTCAATTCCTTTTGCAATTTTTTTCACTTTACTCATTTGTTTTATGGTATAATTAGAGAATTTATTACATGCTCTTAGTGCTTGGGAGTTTATAGACTTTTATGGTTATTTTTATGTAATTTTTACAATTCTTTAGAATATTTATAATGTGACTTAATGGGGGATAATGGAGTTTTAGTTTCAAAAGTTGGACTGCACTGCATTTTAATCTCCAATTTTGTGATTTATCTATTTTTCTAGTTGTCAAAGGAAAATGTTTTTTTTATTCAAATAGTGGATAGAAATATGTAGGAGTTGATACTCTACATTTTATGTTTAGTTTCATAGTAATTGAGTAACTTTTTTCGTGTTGAATTTTGGTACAGTCAATTTTAGGTGGACAAAAGCATTCTAGTTCAAGTTTTAAAACTCTTTTTTTTTTTTTCAAGTTTCTTCTCTTGAGACCTCTTCTAGCATCCAAATTATGATTATGAAAAATAATTAATGTTTAATTTGTATATATTGCTGTTGAAATGGAAGGGTTCTAATTGTCCTGTATTTTCTAGTTCTGATTTTCTGTGTTAAAAATTTTATGATTTTTGGTCTTGCACAGAATTTGGCAGATGTGAAGGGACTGGATTAGGAGAAAGAAGAAAGTTCTACAACATTTGATTCTCAACTTTACAGATGGAAAATATGTTCAAGATATGAGTCAATTATGAGCTTGGAATTCTTTTTCAAGTCCTTTTTTTCTACTCTTTCATAAACTTACCTGCTTTTCTATGATTGATTCGAATAATAGTTATAAGTCCCTGGAAAAGCTGAAGCGCCGAAAAATACCAGAGATAATTTTTCCATTATTATTTGATGCTGTCCTTACTTTAAATTATGCAACGCTAGGCCACGGGAATCAGGTCTCCCCTTATTCATAATTCTTTTCTTTTAAGAGTTAAAAAATGGCAATCAGCTACTCCATACATACAGGCTTCTTGATCAAATGTTCATGCTTTCTTTGTCTCTATCTGATGCCTTCAACATTTGAGTAGGCTTGATCTTGGGGATCTTGAAAGAATTGGCTACAGTTGTTATTATTTAGTTATCTTTCAAGTTTTAGGTGAAATTAGTTTAATTTAAAACTAGGCATCCTAAGCTTTCTTTTGGTGGGCCAATTGCTGCAAGTAGAGCTAAAATGAGTGAGATATAAGGTTCTTGATGTTAGGTAACGTCTTATCCTGGTTCTATTATAGTAATAGTTAAATGAAATGATATTGTGTATACATGCAATGATAATCTATTGCATTTGTTTCATACTTAGCTTTAGCTTCAGAGATTAAATGCTTGGAATGGTAAGAATCACTCAAGTAATAGTACATGTCCTCTTTCTATGAGAATGCTTTCGATTTTGTATGTAAATAATTATTTTGGCCTTCAGCACAATTTTGTGTGTGGTCCAAGTACGTGCTAACATTCCTTTTCAATGATTTCCTTCAAAATCTGCTTTGGCAGGCCATTTATGAACTGTTAACAATATAATTTATCATCGCCATATGTTGTTATGCTTAGTATCTTCACTGTCTGTAAATGTTCTTGTAGTTTTTTAAGCTCTGCCTTTTGTATTAAAGCATCTACTATGCATTAAAAAATGGAAGTAACATTTGAAATTCTCTGTTAATTGCAGAGGCAGCAAAGCTAGTTACTCTTCCAAGTAAAGTGGAATGCTTGAATGGATTGAATGGAGTTTCCATTAAGATTGTCTCTTTGGGTTTTGAGCACTCAGTTGTTGTTATAGGTTTATATCTGTATTTCAAGTGTGTGGCAAATACAGTATTATCTAAACACTGGCAGTCTTTAATAGCAAGCATATTTTTTTCCTTTGTCTTTCTTGTTATGATTCTATGCTTTATTGACCACTGGTTTGCTGTTAATGTTTAGATAAAAGGGAGGCCTTGAGCTGGGGTGGAGGAGCATCAGGAAAACTTGGACATGGTCATGGATCCAGCATATTGGAATTTTGAAAAAGTAACAGGTTCTTTTATGTGGTTAAGCATGCTTTTTTGTTCACAGAATGAATTTTTTGGATAATTGTCTTGGAAGTTTAAACTGTTATTTTTTTCTCTCTCTCTTACTTGACTGTCTTGTGAGATGGCTTTTTACTTTTAAGTAGAAACAAATGTAGGTTTTGGGATAACTGATCTCAATAATGATTGATAACTATGCCTATATGTTCACATTCGCCTCATTTCAGTGTTTAGAAGGGAATGACATGAATGGTTGACATGGGAAGGGTAAGATATGATAGAATAAGAAAACCTCTTCAAGCTATAAACATTTTTGTCAAAATATCATAGGTGATTAGCAGATTCACCACCTAAAAGTTTCATACATCTTTATCACCTAGTATTGTTATGTATTGTTATTCCTCAATATGCCTTGTTAAAATATGCTTTCACCCTTGAAGAATTTTGAGATGGCTGCAGCAACAGAAGCTATTAGCTTGATTATATTGGATTTTCTTTTATGCAGTGAATTCACTCCATGACTGATTAAGGATCTGGAGGGAGTGAAGGTAGCGTATATGTCTAGTTTTGTACAAGTGTCTGTTTAGTTTCTCAAGATCACGCTCACCGTGAGTTGGTCAAGGTATTAATTCTTTGATCCTTGTCACTCTGTTTCCGGAGAATATATAGGTTACAAGTGTTGCTGCTGGGATTTTGCATTCTGCTTGCATTGATGGTAAACTATTGACCTCTTGGAGATGGTTTATGATTACAAACTCTGAAGATTGGAATTAAACTTTTTTGGATAGCTTTTTGATTCCTGGGGTATTGCAGAAAATGGCTTTGTATATATTGTTGATTTTTCCAACGGCCGCAATGCTTGACTATGGCATAATTCTTTCATCCCACATCGCAGCAGACAGCAGGAAGGCTTCGTTGGAGAGTCTATAAATAGAAGGGGTTTATGAAGGAATCAAGTGCACCACTCAAGAGAGTATTATATGGGCTATTAGCTTCTTGAGTCATTTAGCCCATTTAGTCAAATATTTTAGACTCTATTGTTTTGAGTTTAGGAATATTTCCTAAACCTTTTGTAAGTGTCATTTTGGCTTGGGAACCACTTTCCTACGGCTTTTGTATTTCTTCTTCATAGTAGAAATATTACTTCTCCCTCGCTCGTGGACATAGGTCAATTTGATCGAATCACGTAAATTTTCTGTGTCTTTTATTTGCTTTATTATTTGTCATTATTGGGTTGCCATAACCCTTTTATATGGTCAATTTTACCACCTAATTATTATATGGTTGGTATCTACCGCCTAACCATTATATGGTTGGGTATACTGCCTATTTTGTTCTAACTTTAGTTTGTTTATTTCTGGACCAGACTTAACAAACTGGTATCAGAATTGGTTGATATAGTTTGCAAGACAGATTCATCTCGTGGGGCCTGTCCATCCTATGGGGCCCACTCATCCTGTGGGGTCCGTTTATCTGTAGGGCCCACTCACCTTATGGGGCCTGTTCATCCCGTGGGGTCCGCTCACTTTGTGGGGCTCGCTTATCTCATGGGGCCGCTCACCTTGTGTGGCCGCTCATCCTGTGGGGTCCGCTCACGAGACTTGCATATTTGTTTGGCCAGTTTTTTGAGACAAACTTTAGGTTACAGATTTTGTGGCAACAATGAAAATAACAAAGACGGTTGTCGAAAAATTCGACAGGAATGTAAATTTCGGCATGTGGCAACTCAAAATGGAGGCTATTCTTGTTCAAGACGGAGTTAACTTGGCAATTCAGGGAATTGAGAAAAAGTCAGAAGATGTAAAGGATGCGGATTTCACCGATATGGATAAGAAGGCCAGATTCAGCATAATCTTAAATCTCTCTGATGAGGTATTGCGTGAGGTAGCAATGGAGACTTCGGCCAAGGTTATGTGGGATAAATTGAAAACCTTGTATATGAAAAAAACAGTCAAAAATTAGCTATATTTGAAGCAAAGTTTGTATATGCTTCAGATGTTTGAAGGTACATCTATACTCTCCCATCTTGATAAATTTGATTCCATTGTTATGGATTTGGAGAATATAAATTCAAAAAATGATGATGAAGATCAAGCCCTATTACTTTTGTGTTCCTTCCCCCAGTCCTTTAAGTATTTTCGTGATACTATGATTTATGGAAAGGAAACAATTTCATATCGGAAAATTAAATCTGCATTAAAATCTAAAGAGTAGATAGATAGGGATATTACTAGAGAAACTAGTGGGACTCAAGCCGATGGTTTGTTTATTCGGGGTAGATCTGAAAAGAGAAACATAGAAAATAGAAGTTGACCCAAGTTCAGACATAAAAATGTGGTGTGCAACTGTTGTAAAAAGAAGGGTCATGTTATCTCTGATTACTTTAAATTGAAAAATAAAGAAAAGTAAAAAGGCAAATTTGTTGAGAAAAATGCTGAATCCGCTGAAGCTAGTATAATAGTTGATGAGAATGATGGAACCATTTTTTGTGCAACAAAAAATATTTTTAGGTCTAATAATGAGTGAATTTTAGATTCGAGTTGTTCATATCATATGTGTCCCAATAGGTACTGGCTTTCAACATATGAATCAACTAAAAGTGGAGTTATCTTAATGGGTAACAATGCCGCTTGTAAAGTTGTTGGCAAAAGCACAATCCGGATTAAAATATATGATGGTATTGTGAGGACGCTCACAAATGTTAGACATGTTCCAAATTTGAAGAAAAATCTCATTTTTTTGGGCACTCTTGAGTCTATTAGGTGCAGGTATTCAGGTGGAGATGGAGTTCTCAAAATCACTCGAGGAGCTCTGGTACTTTGTATATTTTGCAGGGATCTACTGTGACAAATGCTGCTGCTGTTTCAACATCATCTTTGTCAGATACAGACATCACCAAATTATGGCATATGCGTTTGGGGCACATGAGTGAAAAAGCCTTGGGCATACCGAGCAAAAGAGGATTTTTTTACGGACAAAGTATCGGGCCATTGGAATTCTGTGAACATTGTATTTTTGGGAAGCAAAAAAGAGTCAGGTTCAGTTCACCAGCAATTCACAAGACAAAAGGTACTCTTGATTACATTCATTCAGATTTATGGGATCCTTCTCGTGTTCCTTCTAAAGGTGATGCCAGGTATATGTTGATTTTCATTGATGATTATTCAAGAAAAATTTGGGTATATTTTCTTAAGTATAAAAATGATGTTTTCCTAACTTTCAAACAATGGAAAGTTTTGATTGAAAAAAAAAAACAGGAAAACATGTTAAGCGGTTGAGAGCAGATAATGACATGAAATTTTGTGAAGATGAATTTGATAGATTCTGCAAAAAATAAAGAAATTGTTCGGCATCGCACTGTCAGAATGATGCCTCAACAAAATGGTGTGGTTGAACGTATGAACAGAACGCTTTTGGAGAAAGTAAGATGTATGATCTCCAATGCAGGGTTGATAAACGACTTTTGGGCAAAAGCGATCAATATGGCCTGTTATATTGTCAACCGTTCTCCTTCTGCATCTCTTGATTTCAAAACTCCTGAGATAGTTTGGTCAGGTACTCCTGCTGATTACTCCAATTTAAAAGTTTTTGGGTATCCAGCATACATGCACGTGAATGATGAAAAATTGGAGTTTAGGGCTAAAAAGTGTAATTTTCTTGGGTATGCTTTTGGGGTGAAAGGATACAGATTATGGTATCTTGATCCCAAATCTCCAAAATTTGTGATCAGTAGAGATGTTACTTTTGATGAATTGTCTACGTTATCTTCCAAGAAGGAGTCTTCTAGTCCTTGTACTACTGATAGTACACAGAAGTAGGTGGAGCTTGATATTGGTAGTTCTGATCCTTCTCAGACCAAATCTTTTATTCAACAAGTGTCAGTAGATGCACCTGAATCTACTGTTGAAAATAGTTCAGAAGAAGAAGAGTATTCCATAACCAGAGATAAACCAAGGAAAGACATTCGACCACTACAAAGATATGCAAATTTAGCTACAGATGCTTTGTTTGTTGTAGAAGAAACTGATGCAGTTGGTGAGCCTTCCACCTATTCAAAAGCAGTTTCTTGTAATGATGCTGCAAAGTGGTTGATTGCAATGAATGAAGAAATTGAATCTCTTCATCAAAATGAAACTTGGGTTCTTGTAAAGCCGCCTTCAGATAAGAAAATTGTTGGATGCAAATGGGTCTTCAAGAAAAAGAAAGGTATTCCAGGGATTGAAAATGCAAGGTATAAAGCACGATTAGTTGCAAATGGCTATAGTCAAGTACAAGGTGTTGATTTTAATGAAGTTTTTTCACCTGTTGTTAAATATAGCTCTATTTATGTTTTGCTTGCTTTAATTGCCATGTGTGATTTGGAGTTAGAACAGTTTGATATTAAGGCAGCTTTCTTGCATGGCGAACTTGAAGAACAAATTTATATGAAGCAATCCAGGGTTTTGAGATTGAAGGTAAGGAAGACCATGTTTGCTTGTTGAAGAAATCCTTATATGGATTGAAGCAGTCTGCAAGACAACGGTATAAAAGGTTTGATTCCTTTATGTTGGGTCATGGTTATTTGAGGAGCATGTATGATAGTTGTGTTTACTTCTCGAAATTAAATGATGGTTGTTTCATTTATTTGCTACTTTATTTTGATGACATGCTCATTGCTGTCAAGAATTTGTCAGAAATTCAAACTTTGAAACTGCAGTTAAATAGTGAATTTGAAATGAAAGATTTGGAAGCAATTAAAAAAATTCTTGGCATGGATATCAAGAGAAATCGAGGAGTAGGGAAGTTGTTCTTGATCCAGAAAAATTACCTTGAGAAAACTTGGAACGTTTTGACATGAAAGATGCTAAACCAGTATCTATTCCTCTTGCTAGCCATTTTCGGCTGTCTACTGCTCAATCAGCAAAATCAGATGAAGAGAAAGATTATATGGCACGAGTTCCTTATTCCAGTGTAGTCGGTAGTATTATGTATGCAGTGGTTTGTACTCATCCAGATATTGCACAAGCAGTCAGTGTTATTAGCAGATATATGTCTTGCCCTGGTAAAGTACATTGGCAGGCTGTGAAATGGATTCTCAGATATTTGCGAGGTACTTCAAATGCATGTTTGGAGTTTGGAAGAAATAATAACACTTTGGTTGGTTTTGTAGACTCAGACTACGCTGGGGATCTTGACAGGAAAAGATCACTTTCAAGCTATGTATTTTGAATTGGCGGTTGTGCTATTAGTTGGAAAGCTACTCTACAACCTGTCGTAACTTTGTCTACTATAGAAACAGAATATATGGCTGTGACTGAGGCAATCAAAGAAGCCTTGTGGTTGAAGAGTTTATTTAGTGAGCTTAGTCTACATCAAGGTGCTACTATTATTCACTGTGATAGTCAACGTACTATACACTTGACTAAAGATCAGATGTATCATGAGAGAACAAAACACATTGATATAAAACAGGGTAAAGTACATAAAACCCCCCTGTGGTTAAGGAAATTGACACGAAATCTCCTCATTGTTTAGAAACTCCCACTTAACCCCCCTGTGCTTTGGACTTGTTTGGATTTTACCTGCTAACCGGCTGGGGAGCTAGCGAGTGATATTTACGCGGCTTAATGGTAACTTGTTTCTAGCTGAAACTCATTTCATTCCAATTTTGTCCTCCATGTCTCTTCCAAGCTTGCACCCACCATAGTTGTAGATCTGCAAATGAAAAATTTC